GAAAAAAAGGAAAAGAAAAGAAAGAAGAGAAATTGATTAACCGTAAATTAAAATTAGATTCCAATTTATTTGTTTCTAAGATTTTTGCAATTCCATCGATTATTGTCTTCCTTCTGTTTATTTTTTAAATAAAACAAAAATTGAAGAATATATTTTGTTCCTATTTCCATGTTTTTCTTTTATTTGTTTTCTGTTTCTTTTTCATTTGTTTGTTTGTTTGTTTGTTTTTTTATTTGTTTTCTGTTTGTCTTTTTGTTTGCTTGTTTTTTGTTTGTTTTTTGTTTGTTTGTTTTTTTCTTTGTTTTTTCGTTTATTATTGTCTCGTTTATTTACTAGCTTATTTGCTCGTTCGTTTACTTATCCGTTTATTTGCTTGCTTGCTTATTTGTCTGTTTGTTTGTTTATTTTTAATTTTTATTAATCATTTATTTTTACTTATTTCATTTTGTTAATTTTTCTTACTAATTGTTAATAATTAATTCAATTTTTGATATACGATGTAAACAAAAATGAAAATGATGCTAATTTGTAGCATTGCTTATCTGATCTGAATTAATCTAAATAAATGCTCTTTGCAAATGCAATTGCATTTACAAAGATGCATTGAAATGAAATGGAAAAGAAAACTTACAAATACCATTTTTAATCATTTCCGATAATATTTTTTTAATCCTATTTATTTTCACAATTAAATAATTAAAGAAAGAAAATAATGAAAAAAAAATGGATCGGAAATAAACCATTTGGCGATTTTTATCATTCTGTGACATATTGACCTAAATTAAATTTTGTCACTATTTGACAATTCTTAATTAGACTTATTCTACGATTAAATGTGACAATTTGTGATAGACTCGTCCTGCGTTTAAATTTTAGGATTTTTTGAAAAAATTCTAGTCTTTTTTTCAAAGTTTGAAATAATTTGTGTTTTAAAAAAGTTTGTCATTGATTTGACATGAAAATGTCCTACTTTTGTAGAATGCTACAAGGAAGAATGTAAATTTTGAGCATTCTACACTTTTTCTCCAAATAATTATCCTAAAACTTGTTTTGCTGATAGCGATAGTTATGAGACAAGGAATAATTTCTCATAGCAGGTTATTAATATTTGTATTTAAAGGTGTGTCCTTCACATAGCGTCAAAATACAGTGATAATTCCCATATCCATTACTTATCATGATAATATTCAATTCATTAACTTATCCTTGCTACATAATATCATTATAGCTAATCGTTATCACGAATAATATCCAATTCTTTCGACCTATTTCTGCTAAACCAAATAATATCCTTAGATCCAATTTTTTATCATAATTATCCAATTTATTCATGTTAAACTTCTTTCTTTCTTTCCGTATTTATTAATTAGGCTTTCAATTTAGTATTCAACAATCATGAAATTATGAAATTAGTATTCATTTTTTTTCTTTTGTATTGTTCAATTTTTCTACAGCATCTAATAATAGTCTCATTTGAGCATATTACAATAAATTTCACCAATTCCATTGTCACTTTGTCATTATCAATTTTTAATTGAAATATTTGTTGCATTCAAAATCTAAAATTTAATTCAGCATACGATACCTTCACACCAAAATAATTTATAATTCTTCCATACCATAGAACTTTTTCCAATCCTTCATATTTAAATTAAGATTTTTGATTTCAACTTATTTATCAAATTTAATGGTATTATTTCGCAAATTACCTTTATCTCTTGGTTTTTTTCGTTTCAGTCAAAATTTTTGTATTCATTTTTGGTATTTTAATGTCAAACAACTAAATTTCAAATAGTATGATTGTTCCAATGATACGTGATTATTATCAATAAGTCATCAGCTAATTACGAATTCTTCTTAGATGTACTGTAATGCATTGGCAAAATTATGAATGTATCTAATTAATTCATATGTTTATTTGTCTAAACAGCACATTGTTAAACAACTTTTTGCTCTGTTTTTTTCTCTTTCTTTTTTTTGTGATTAATTAATGCATTTATTCATTCATTATGTGTTAGATTAATGATATTGATTACTCCATTTAATTTGATTATTGTGATCATTTTATATTATATTGATGATATTGATTAATCCATTCAATATTTGGTCAGTTTTTGTCATATTAATGATACTAATTAATCTTTAATATTTGATTTTCTTTTTTTTCCATACTCATGATATTAATTAATTCATTCAGCATTTCTTTATATTGTGATGATACCGATCAACCTATTTAATATTTGATTATTTTGTGTTGTATTAGTGGTTTTGATTAATTAATTCAGTAATTGATTACATCTTTTGTTTAAAATTTAAATATCCCAATTACTCTAAAGTCATCTTAAATAGGATAAGATATTATTACAGATGTTACTAAACTTATATATTTGGATAATACTACAAACTACTGCAGCTTATGGATATGGTGATAAAACAGTGCAGGAGAGTAAGTTTTAGTAGTACACTTCTGTTAATATCATTCTGTAATTTACCATACTTAAAGAAAACTATGCAGAAATGATTATAGAAAATATTTCCACTTTATAGATTTTTGTCTTGCCTCTTTTTCATTTTCTTTTTGCAAAAAATTAAAAACTTCACACTGTAAAATATAATTTAGACATGATGAATAAACCCTTTAACAGTTATCAAAGTCTTTCAATGCAAAGGAATGGTTGATATTATCATAGTGCTAAACTATTGCTCCAGATTACTGTGGGCTGGTCGCGGTGATAAACTTTTAACTTAGTGATAAACCTAAGTCTCCAGATTACTGTACTGAGATATTTTTTTACAAAGTCCAATTCGTATATTTTGAGAAAATTTATTAAATTTTAGAAGCAGTTGATGAAATGCTTTCGAAAGCGATGATTAATGCACGTCACACTATTGAAGAGCTTAAACGAAATCATGAATTACTTCCACCACAAGGCATAAGTTTCATCATTCAAATGTATTTCAATTTTTCTTCACAAAAATTTTGAATTTAAATAAACTTATCGAAATTACAGATGTAATGGAACATATACAAATGCCATTCAGAATATGGCCAATACATACTTCAGTTGAACCAAATGTTCAGAAATTAGCCCATGCTGCACTTATCTCAATTGTTGCTACCAAAAAATAAAAAGTTTATTTCACTTCATTTCCGTTCTATTTTTCTTTTTGTTTTGCAATAAATATGAAAGTTTTAAATGAATAAATCCTATAATTCCAATGATTTTTCCAATTGTTATGAACAGTCCTTTTTTCTTGTTATGTATTCAAGAAGGAAATAGAGAAAGGTGAAAAAGTGCCTTTTCAATTTCAATAAGAAATTTTGGAAATTTTAAATATTATTTATTCTCCCAAGGATTAATATGAATTAATCCCACTGGATA